TGGTTTCCCCAATATCTCCCTAGATTTCATGGCGCTTCTTCTTATTTCAATGCGTCCCCAGCCCCCGCCCTGGGCCGCGCACACGCCGCCGGCCATGCTTTGCGCCCCCCCTCTTGGATCCCGTTTCTTTATTGCTTGGGGCATGACGGGCGTCATGGCCTCCGCTCCCCCCCCCTATGACGTAACGCTCCCTCCCCCCTCAGTGCGCTCCGGGCACTGTCGTCGTGCGCATTGGGATCCGCGTTGGTGTCCGCGTAGGAATCCGCATCGGAGTCTGGTCCGCAGTCGTCGTCGTCGTCGTCGTCGATCGTCGATCGTCGAGCGTCGTCGTCTTGCGCGCGGACGCGGCTGGAGCCTGCTTTTTCATTCTGGGCCGATGACGGCAATCATCTGGGGGTGTGGAGGGGGTCGAGGACATCACGCTTCGCGCTGGCGGCGTCTGGGAATGCCTAGGCATGACGGAGGACGGGTAGCACCAGCATGTAGGTGGCGATCTGCACCGCAACGCCTGTGTACACCACAGTGCCTGCGAGCACCGCAGCGCTTGTATACACCACACCGCCTATGTACGCCGCGTGCAACACAGCGTCAGTTTGTGCCACCGTGCGTGCGGGCACAACAGCTCTTGTGTACACCACAGCGCCTGCGTGCACCACATTAGTCGTGTGCAACACAGCACCAGTGTACACAACAATGCCTGCGTGCATTGCAGTGCCTGTGTGCACCACGGCGCCTGTGTGCACGGGCGTTGTGGTGTACACGCGCGCTTTGGTGCACCCGAGCGTTGTTGCGTACGCAGGCGCAGTGGGGCAGATCGCCACCTACATGATGCTCGCGTCGTCGTCGTCGTCGTCGTCGTCGTCGTCGTCGTCGTCGTCGTCGTCGTCGTCGTCGTCGTTGTCGTCGCTTGTCGCTTGTCGCTTGTCGCTTGTCGTTTGTCGCTTGCCGCCCGTCGCGTCGTGCGCGCGGGCGCGGCTGTGGTGCCGGAGTCACACGGCGGGGGGGGGGCGTTTCGTTATACCCCTCCCTGCCCCCCCCCCATGACGCCCGTCATCGCCGAACATAAAGAAACGCGCTCTTGGACGCCCGCCTCCTGGCCGCCTCCGAGTTTGGAGGGAGGTGGGGGGGAGGAGGGTGGAGGCGGCGAGGGAGTGCGGAGGACGGGGAGGGGCTCGCGGGGAGGGAAGGGGAGGGGATTGGGGGGAGTGGAGGAGGGGAGGATGGGGAGGGGGAGGGGGGGGGGGGGGGGAGGGGGGGGCGAGGGAGTGGGGAGGGCGGGCAGTGAGAGGGGGGGAGGGGCGGGCTGGGACAGGGAGGTGCGGTGGCAGGGGGGCGGGGGGTCAGGGGGGCGGGGAGGGAATGGAGGGAGGTGCGCAGCGGGAGCCTCCTCATCATTCTGCTGCATTTGTTCCTCCTCCTCCTCCTCCTCCTCGTCCTGAAGTGGTCAGAGTTGTGGACGGCACGACTCCCGACGGCCTTATCCTTATCCTTATCCTCCTCGTCCTTTATTCCTCCTCCCCCTCCTCCACCTGCTCCTCCTCCTCCTCCTTATCCTCGTCCTCCTCATTTTCCTCTTGTTCCTCCTCCCCTGCCTCCTCTTCCTCCTTTCCCCCTCCCCCATCCTCCTTACAATTTCTCCCCCCCCCCCCCCCAGTGGCTGTTGCTGCTCCTCTTCCTCCTCCTCTTCCGCGCCCTCATTCCCCGTCGCTTCTCCCCTCATCTTTGGTGCCTCCTCGTCTCTCTTCCTCCCTAGTTCCTCCCCCATCCCTTGTTTCCTCCTCGTCCTCGTCTCGTCCTTCTCGTCCTCCTCGTCCTCATCACGTGGTTCCTCCTCGTCTCGCGTCCTCCCTTGTTCCTCCCCCATTATCCTCGGCCGCCCATTGCTCCTCCCCCCGCCCCCGGCGGCCTACTGCCTCCCCCATCCTCGTCGTCCTCCCTTTGCTCCTCCCATGCTCCTCTCCCTTCTACCCTCGGCAGCGTTAGGTTTGTGCAGGACGATCAATGGAGAGGAAGCATGCTGCCAACTCATTTCCAGATTTCTAAACACATGTTATATATATAACACATGCTTGAGACATACTTAGAACATGCTTTACACATTTTAAGCACATTTTTTAGTTCAATTATAGGATTGTTAGAGTGTCCAGTGCCATGGCATCCGCAAGCCTACTACCCCCCCATCCTCCTCGTCCTCCCTTTTCTCTTCCCATGCTCCTCTCCCTTCTACCCTCGACAGCGCTAGGTGCGCCAGCCGCGCTGAACAGCGCTCAGCAGACCCCGATCGTGGGAAAAAGGTGCTCATGACGCTTCGCGTTCGCTGCCCGCCCATTCCAGGTCTCGCCGAAAGAATCGAAGGACGGCACCAGGACGGGACAAAGTCAAGCCGACCACAGTCAAGCACGGACTTGCAGGCGTATTTTATATTTAGTTATGCTTTTCTTTCTCCTCCATTCCATCGCTGGGTGACTAGGCTCAGGAATTCATTGTTTTGTTTAGATTA